ATGTTGCGACCGGATGTCTTAACCGAGTCTCGGGAATTTCCCCGGACCGTTTGAGTCCTTGACGGTGGTCCTCTTTCTTTAATCGCCGGCGCGAGAGATTGGATTTGCCGTTCACTGTACCGGGAGGAAAAGAAGGGGGGGAGAGAGGAGGAGGAGGATTATCTTAGGAACAGGCCAGAATCGTCGTCCTGCGGGATTGAACGCGGTGGTCCCGGCAGGTATATACTTCGGACGGCGCGACCTGGAAACGGATGGCGGAGAGAAGCCATCTGTCTTATTGCCGATGCGCGCCATTCCCTTTCCGTCCCCTTTCCGTCCTTATCCCCTTGCGTGTTTACGTATGAAAATGATGCACTCTGGCGTGATGGGCTCTCTCGGCGCGGCGCATTCCGCCTTCCCAAACGCCAGCTTACATCGGAGGGTCCGACCGGCTACGCGCGCACACGGGAGTGACCCACATTATGCGCGCACCCTCCCTGCCCCCCTTATACTACGCGCTGTTATTATCCCTCCCCTCCCTCCCCCGTTCGAAAGGCCATCTTGCAAGATCATTAATCTCGCGCACCTACAGAAGCCGACCCATTAAGGGGAATTATTTCACAAGTACATTATTTTACGGACGATACTTACAAAGGGGGGGGGGAGGGAAGAGAGGGAAGAAGGTTCTTAGACCTCGGCTCATCTAATATGTGCACCGGGGTGAATTATTAATTTTCTCAAGATCGATAATTCACTGACCTCCGGAGGGGAAAAAGGAACACGTAAGAAAGGCACTGGTCTAAAATAACACACGTGTGCATTTGCGAATGTGCGCCCGCGCGTGTGTGTGTGTGTATGAATCGCGTAGAAAGAAATAGAGCAGAGACGGCTCTCTCCTCATCTCCTGAAACATTGAATTTTTCGCGTCTGACGCTTTTTCCCCTCGAGCCAGACAACTGTACAATATGTATGAAGTGAGTCGTTTTATTATTTTGGAAATACATTTAATTAATGAGAAGATTCTCCCCTCTCTTGCCACTCTATTTGATATGCGCATTTTTTTCCACTTTTTTCAAAGGGTATAACATTTCCCTTTATAATTAATCATGAATCTAATTCAAATCCACGCGGTACGCTCGTGATTGTAAAAAGTCTACTCTATGCACATACAGCTACGAAATACAAAAGTTATACCTGCGCACTCGACTTTATTATGTGAAACGCAAGCGTTCTCTCACTCGAGCTCACTCCCTCAGTCCCTCTCCTCGGTGGTGCCTGCAATATTTGTGCACTTACGTACGTACGCCGTGCACGGAATGTTATTAAGCATGATAATAATTCGACTGGAATACCGCAAACCCCCCTTATATAGCGACCGATCGTAGCGCGGCGATAAGAGCGAATTAATTCTCTTGATGCTAGCTTCGCTAGTGCGCGATCCTTGCGCCGCGTCACGCACGCACACAGCGGTTTACATTCCTCCTCATCTGTTCGCGGGAAACTACAAGAAGCCGGTTGCGCCTTTACTCCGCGGCTTCACTTCTATTGTTGCGGCGCAATTTTATTAAAACTTTGCGAGTCATTCCTGGCCCCGATTCCCAGCGCTCTTCTTTCCGCATTTAAAGAAATACTTGGAATCGATATTTCTTAAAATATTGCAACAGTTCTAATTGACCGAAATATTTCGCATTAAAAGTCAGAAAGGTCTGGCGCGTGCCAGTAAAATAAATGGTAAGATCTTGGCCTCAGGTGCATTTTAATCTTAAGACGATTAATGCTACGAGTAACAAGTTAAGCGATATTTTCGCTCGGCAAATTAAGGGAAGTGCGAGATTTTTGTTGAACTATTTCACCGTGTGTACCGTGTACTTTTTAATATTTAATCTGTGCCTCGTATTATATGTATATATATATATATATATATATATATATATATTACATATGATATATGTATATATTATAGAGACGCCTGTGCGTACACGTTACATTCTGTTCAACACGAATGGAACAACTTTTGCCATCGCATTCGCGTTTCGCGCTCGCCTCGAATGGAGTCACTTGTGCTCTAATCCCGCGCGGGCATGAGTTCGAATCTCGCTCGCTAATACCGCCAAAGAGGCGCAGCCAGATGAGGCTATCGGCCGGCCACTCTTGAAAATACTGCGAATAGGTGGATATCACAATCAAATGTAGCTACAGTTAGCCGGTATTACCCATCAGTAATCTCGCGTGACTGCCCTTTTCATACTCGCGTATGTATTATCTGCAAAACCGGTAGCGCGCCGTGTGTCGCAGCTCATCAATTCGTTCGGTATAATAAGTATTAATCAACCGTTATTGGCCGTTTAATTGTTAATTAATTCATCTTTGTAAGCGCACCTTTGTCGGCAGCTTTCAGAGGAACATATCGGTAATATCACATAACACTGATATAATCACTGGATTGATTATCTAATGATTATGTAAAGCTCCAATTTGCGATAAAGTCATTGAGATTTTGATTTATCGAGCCATTATCAATTAATTGCGGAAGTTGCTATTAAGTTGTTTTTGTTTATTTATCCGTATATATTTCACAAATATTATACCATCGCTTTTATATATTTTGTGTCATTTTAGAGATAGATGATGACGCTTTATTTTCCCAGCTCTTGTTCACATCAGAACCTCGCGAAAACGCAAAGGCCTGGCGTCGAGGGAATTTAATCGGCCGGGGCGGGGGCGATTTCACGAATGACATGGCGAGTCAACCGATAGTAAGATTTTAATGAAACCCGGAGCCTAAAGTCCGCCCCCCCCTGCCTCGACAAACACCGACGCGCGATGTACGGGGCCACGGACGTCTGAGATTACGCGTCTGAGAGCGAGCGATATTCTAATGGACGGCTGGCAGCCGGCCTTTCTCTCGTGCATTTAGTCGAATGGGTTAAAACTGCGGTTATTTGCAGTGCACTTCGATCGAATTGGCTGCCGTTTGCATAATCTCCTTCCGTTGCCCGCCGCGTCGCATTCGTCCACATCCGCACACTTTTCTTTCGCCGGATCTTTCTCTCTCTTTCTCTCTTTCCCGTCTCTTCCGCCCGTCTCTCTTTCTCTCGTGCGCCTCTTCCTTTTTCCCATCCGATCCCCGTACCTTCCATCCGCGAAAACGATCGCGTTTCTTTGTTCGAGGCAGGCGGGAAATTTAGGTGCCTCTCTACGATCGCGCTTGATTTATATCCGTCGATCGATCGACGACCGACGCGACGACGGATCGTTCACCTTCGTGTGCGCGCCCCCGAGGGAAGCTTGATCATCGGGGTAGCCGCGGTCAGCGCACGGCGATTGACGATCGCCGCGTACGCGAATCGTCTCAATTGCGACTTTCTTGTCCGAGCCGTCCGAAGGGTGGAGGAAGGTAGGGAGGGGACGGAGATGATCGGATTTCCGCAGATCGACTGCGTTTATAAGTACGCGAGCGTCGTCGACGACGACGACCTTCGGTGACACAGGGGGATACGTGTGCCGTTACGGGAGGCGCGCGCGCGGTCGGTTCTTAGGGGAAAACAAATGACACACCATGATCGCCCTGAGTTTTGCACGTAACCGATTTGAATAAATTTTCACGTGGCCGTAAAAATTGCCGGTCTTGCCTCTGACGTACTGAAATTGCGAGATTGTTTCCGCGGCGTGGAATAAAAATATTTGTTTTGTGAAATTTATACGCGTCCTCAGTCGGACATATTTTTCTTGCGGCGAGAGAGAGAGAGAGAGAGAGAGAGAGGAGAGGGAGGGAGAGAGAGGGACAGAGATCTCAAATAATTTCGAAATTAACTTAAGTGTCGCTTTTGCAGTATACGAGATCCACCGATGAAGAGAGGGAGAGCCGCAATTGCGTTGCCGAGAGGCGCAATTTGCGATTAAAGATCGCGTATAAAATTATCATACTGTAATCACGGGCTTTTGCGCGAAACGTGGCGTGCGTGGATTTAACGAAAATTCATATGGCTAACAACGTGAAATCATTCCGCGTTACGTTATGAATAGCCCACGCCGCGCGGCCGGCACACACAAAGCAATAACCGTTAATGTCCGTAATAATTGTTCGCCGCGTATTATTAATACAACTTAATTACCGGTAAGCAATCTGCGGCATAATGTATATATATTCGCGACAATTCCAATCGCCGGATGGAATGTGTAATATTCCCCCCGAATTCGCGGCTGTTACCGGGGAGCGCGCTTTACGCGCGAATTATATCGGTTACGCTAAGTTTGCCGCGGAACGACACGAAGTTCTTGTTAAATTGCTCGTCTTCCGTTTATGCGATCCTGAAATATATATATATATATATCCTGTATATATCTGTACTTATGCATGCACGTGTACGTGTATATCATTGTATATCGTTCAAAGTGAAAATTTCCCGCCGGGCGTTCGCTTTAACCGTCGCTGAATATTTATGATCCCAATCTCTTTTCAGCCTACGGTAAAACGAGGTTTACCGCCATAATAGCGACGGGGCGATGCGCGCGGCCGTTTCCGCGATGACTTTAATAACTAGTTACCGGATTAATTGCGTCACTTTGTCACCGTTAATTTACCTATTAAGCACTTATCGGCGGGATGACGTATCGCCGGCCGCGCGCGGTACAATTATTCATTATGCTAATTGCGCGAAGCTCTGCTGTAGATAAATCTTACTCGCTCTTTCCCGATCGTGTAAATGCCATTGTGACGTTTATATCGCCGGGCGCGAGAAGAGGAAGCTGTTTCGCGCAGCTACCATTCGAAACTCATCATTTAAAAGTGAAATCTCGCGATGTTGCAAAGGTCGGAAATTTATATACACTTAAAAAGTTCCAGAAAATCTCAGAAGGATTGAAGATACGCTGCGATCAAAGGGCAGCATGTAAATCGCGACCGGCCTTAAAATAGTGAGAAAAAAAATAAATTATGCAACGATGGGATAGGGAATGGGAAGTGGGGGATGGAGCGGAAAGAGAGAGGTGTCGCTCCGGCGAGATTAAAGCTGCCTCACCTGTCGTTAGAGAAGTGCAGAATAGCGCCGACAGTAGTACGAGCTGCATTTTAGTCAGACACTTGCCGCACCTGGAGCACGATTCGTGTTCGCCGTGCGAAGTGGCGTCCCACTTCTTCCTCGTCTGCACCCTCGTCGAGCACTTCATCGTTCACTTGACATTTGTGCGGGGGCGGGGCCAGCAGGGGGGAGTCCGAGGGGCGGAAGCGCGGATAACCGTGGCCGTTCGTACCGTTTGTCGAGAAAAAGAACGAGAGAGAGGTTACAAAACCGCAGAATTTTGCGCCGTCGTCGGGAAATTTCCGCTTAATCGAGCTCCGCTCACCGCCGCTCCGATACGCCTCAACGCGCTCCTTCTCGTTTCTCGTTTCTCGGCGGGGTGAGACGACGACCAAGCGATTCGACGACGTGCCACGTGTTCCTCGCTTCGAGAAGATCGCCTCTCGGCGTCTCGATATTCCTCGATATCTTCAGAAACAGTCGAGCGCCCGCATTTGAATGTTGATTTCGACCGAGCCAGCGGAATTCCTGCGCGCGTTTGCCCTGATTTGTCCTCGCCCCGACGACTCGTCTCTCCCACACGATCCTCTTCGATTCCTCGCCGAAGGATTTCTCGTGCTTTTTAAGAAGAGCCCGAATACCAATCGCGTCGTTTAGCGTGAAAAAAATTCCACCTCGCGTCCGGATTTAATGGAACGCGTGGAATTTCTCGGCGTTCTCGTAATTTTCTTTCTACGTCGCAATGTTGCCTTTCTAATTTGCTCGATCAGAAGCGCCGATCGACCGCGGTTATCAACGGAAGGCAGTTGTTGCAGAGAAGACAGCACTTGTGTGAATTAAATCAAAATTGAATTATTACGTCGAGAGCGGGCACGCCTTTTCCTTATCCTCTTCTGGCGATTTATTTGTTCGACGAGGTGACTCCCTCGATTCCTAATACGAACGGACGCGTTTTTTCCCGTGGAAGCCACACGGGCAATAAGCGCACTTAGCCTTCGTATATCCGCGCGAAAGTAGTTTCGCTATTACTTCGGTTTACCTCGGTCATTCCGCGGAGGTCTTCCCGGGGCTTAACGATCCCGCCTTTTATCGCCAGTTGTTAGACGGCGGGCGCTATTTCCGCCCGTAAACGTTGTCCCGTTAATGTTTTTCGTCTCCCGCAACTTCCCTCGGGCACTCTCCCTCGGAGGCTTTCGCGAAGTTTTTTACACGAAGGCTCGCGGCGTCTCTTCCGTTTCCCTTTTTTTCCTTCTCCCTTTTTTTTGCGCACCCGTTACCCAGATGCGCGGCCACGCTACCCGAGTACACGTATATATCTCAGTCCCGTCAAACGGATATCACTCTCTCACGAAAGGCACTCTCGTGCCTTCGTTCCCGCTCGGTAACGGGGACCGACCCTCCTTCGCAACGCGCGCATTAACGCCGCGCTCCCTCGGTTTTCCCCGTTCCTCGCTAATTAACGCGGAATGATTACTCGCCGCGACACGAACGTCGATGCGCCTCGAGAAGAGGGCCCAGGCCTCCTCGCAATCGAGGTTTTCCTCCTCCCGAAGTTGGACGAGCCGGTGCACGAGAGCGGAAACGAATGGAGGCTCGCTTTCCCTCACCGGTGACTCCTCGTCGTTGATTAACCGACCACCGCCCGCGCCGGCCGCGGCTCGTTAGTTATATCAAAGGAAAGGCCCTAGCTCGCGAGAGAGCGGCGCGAGACACCTCGCTGTAAATCTCATTCGACTACCGGCCGAATTACTCCGCGCGCGCGTCCGCGGATTCTTCTCCTCTATTCCCTTCCGTCCCTTTCTCCGTTACGCGCGCGACGAGAGAGAGGAGGGAAAAAAATAACAGATTCGTCAGAATTCAGTGAGCGTGAATTTCCGCGTCTGCATTTATTTCGCGGTTCAATGAATTTCCTCGCCGATTTTTTTTCCAACGCCGCGCGGTCCCCCTGTTCCCCGCGCGCGCACAGCGGGCAAATTCCTTCTGACGTCTGCAAATTCTTCGCGTGCGAAAAAAAAGGGGGGAAGTTTCGAGTCCCGAAACACGGCGTACACACCGAACGGCGATGCACCCACGTGACACTTTCGCTCTCCCGGGCCACGTGCCGCGATCGCGATATATTCTGTCCACCTTTATTTTCTCCCGCCGCGACGCGCGCCCGTAGCAAACGCGGCACTTCGCATCGCGCGCTCAATTATCGTCCCGCGATTCGCACATTTCGCTGGATTCGGGTTTCGTCGTCACTGTATCCTTTTCACCAGCGATTTACCACGCGTATCCTCGCTGGCGCACTGTCACTCTCAAACACACCCGTCATCGACTTCGCCGGGCGATTGAATTTCTGCGATCGATCTCCTCGCTTTAACGGACGATCGCGCGAAGATTACGTTTCCACCGTCACGCGCGTCTTTTGTAGCAATCTTTCTCTTTAATGTTAATGAAGGTACAAAGAAGTCACAACACGTGTGTAATAATTGTCACTTCTCTCCGCGTCACGTTTGCGAAGAACGGAAGTACAGTTCCTGCGAATCACATGCGCGTGATACTCCCGTGGACTCGCGTGCCGCGGCAACGGGCACCGGCCTCGTCTGTTGCAGGTTACCCGAGAACCTTTACCATCGGTAGTTCGTAGTTGACAGAAACCCTTGGCGGGAGCGGTACGACGAATAAGGTGCCACTCCCACCCGCGCATGCTCCACCACCACTCTCCGGATCATGATCCCCTTCACTCCCTCTCCTCCTTTTGCTTATTTTCTCCTTTCCCCTTCGTCGAGCTCTCCTCTCCTCCCGCTCGCTCTCCTCTCCTCTCACCCTCGGCCTTCCTCCTCACGCATGATCCCCCCGTTTACTGCATTTTCAAATCGTTTTCTCTCGCTCCCGTTCTTCCCTCATTTTCTTTCTGTGTCTCTCTCCCTCTTGGTCCACCACCACCGCCGAATAACCGCCGCACGTGGTACTATCGCCGAGGAGTGGGGCGATCCATAAACCAATTAATTCGAGTAATAAACTCGACCGAAGGGCGACCTATCCGGACCCGCGCCTCCGTCACCCGCGAACACGCCGCTGGATCCTTTTAGCAACTTTCTTCAACTTGGCTCGCCTTTGTTCAGCTTGTCGCATCGGAAGCTATCTCGTTCGTTGAAACAAGCTTAACCCTTTGGCCACGTATGGCGTGTCGGAGGGATGTAGAATCTGTCAGAACGAAACGATGGATTTACGAGACACTACGCGGATTTACGAGACCGCTGCTTCTCTCTCTCTCTCTCTCTCTCTCTCTCTCTCTCTCCCCCTCTCTCTGTTTTGTTTTAGGTTTCTACGTTCAACTAATTTAAAAATCATTCTCCACAGTTTGTTGATTGAGCGTAATTAAACTCTCGATACACTGATTTGTACGTAACGATTGTTAAAAAGCGACGATTGTTAAACAATAGCAAATTACTTTTGGAGATGTTATGAAAGCCTTATGAATTATGAATGTGAAATAATTAATTATTACATTCAGGCAACAAGCTGGCATTATTTATCGTTGACGTGAAAATGATGTTTTTGGCGACATTTTGACGTCAAAACAACGTCCAATAATGTCAGCTTGCTACTCGGCTATGTATTGTATATGCATTAATAATGCTGAAATGGAAATAAAATAAGATCGATTTCTTTAACGAGATTAATTTGGCGAGGAATATATAGAAGTAACGCAAGGGAATACACACACACGTAGAACTTGAAACGCCGCGCACATATCCGGAGACGACCGTCACGATCTGTTTTAATTTGTTAAATATATTCATTGCTCTCTCTCGTCCCTGTTAGAGGGAGAGACGCGTCTACACGTCGTCGCTTGCATAAGTTTTCGCGATGGCGTCGTCCCTTATTCCCCGGGCCCAATGAGGGATTATTAAAGAAATGCGCTCTCTCTCTTTCTCTCCTAGCAGCAGGCTGCGTAATAAATCAATTAGTTTAAATAAGAAGGGCCCGGGGAAGCACGTAGACGGGGAACGGCGGCGTCCCGTGAAACAACGCGTCACCACCGCGCCGCACCGCTCCGCGCGCGACGCTCTAGCCGAGCCCTATTATTATGGCCCGCACGACGGGCGAACCGTGCCGTCGATTGCGCCGATGAATTAATTGCGCGCGCGATCGATTAATTAAAACGCCGACGCGCACGCCGTCAACGTGATCCCAATGCCGAGCGACGGAAATATTATTCCGCCGCGCCTGCCGCGCCCGCCGCCGCCGCTGCCGCCGCCGCCGCCGCCGCCGTCGTCGTCCGGCGAGCGGTTACTCGCCCCGGCGATAAGCGGCGTGAACCGCTTTAAAGTCGGACACGGTCGACTCGGTTCACGCTCGGATCGCTAAACCGCGACGGTTAATATTTTTATCGAAACGAAACCGGTCCGCATCTGTCGTACTGTATAGCGTCAAGTCGATGGACCGCCACGCGTGCAGTTGATTCCATCATTCCGCGTTCCGCTCTTTCGCCGCGGCGCGTTTTTGTCACGGCGCCATCACGGCGCCGCGATTTGCCGAGCTTGGATCGATGCCGATTCGATTTACATTCCCCCGCGTCTCACCGCGAGAAGCTCCCTCGGCTCCCCTCCCCTCCCCCCCCCCCGCTCCGGATCTCGCGCGCGCAGAATAGAAGTGTGCGGCGCGTTTCGCATACATTCGAACGCGATCGCGCCGTCCCACGAATGACAGCTGAGAATTATCCGTTGCATAATACACACGGCGCATCCCGGCGCAGGATGCCGGGGATCCTGGATACGAGTTGTTGGTGAATGAATTAACATACTAATTACATGGCCCGTCAAGCACGCGCTGCGCGCGATTTCATGGCTTTGGTAACTTTGCAACAATGATGAATCTTTCGTAACTATGCTAAATAGATCGTGACGCGCTTTTGTCTTCCCTTCACACGTCCGTGCTTCCATTTTGCGCGGCTTAATCTCGCTCTAGGATAGATGCCACTGATAAAAATATCTAGCTCAAGGAATTAGATAATTAATCTTCTCGTACGTGAAATAGTACGAGTAAATTAGTATTCCTGCCTGCATAACCTTCGGAGATACGTTATTCATAAAATAAATATCCGCTCATATACGTGTACGCGAGGAGATATTCGAGAGAGAGAAATCTCTCTGCATGATATCGTATCTCTATATGGAGG